TTTTAGTGAATATTCGCTTAAAAGTGTACAAACGTGACGTCATGCGACTTTTCAAATCAATTTATCTCTGCAATGTTTATATTATGTGAAAAAAGAAAAAATACGTGTCCAATTATACTTTTTGATAACCTACCTGATAAATGAAGAAAAAAAAAATTAGTCATCCCTATTGTCAAAATTTACCAACTGGAACTGAGAACTATGTTAATGTTAAGTGTAAGTGAAGTCCAGTCGTGCTGATCTGGCAAAAATTTACTTGTCTCCCTCATCAGCCATCTTCACTTTGGTGCCACGAATCCTTCCCCTACCTGCCCCCCAAGCATGCACACCGTGATATGATTTTTATCACGCTCAATTGTCAAATTACTATGGAGTTTGACGCGATAAAAAGCGTGATATAATGTAAATTGTGGTGCTCATGCTACAGGGACTGGCCGAGCTTAACCCAACGCGAGTGTAGACAAACTGATACAAGGCAAATGATACCGTTTAGCTAGACGTTGCAAGTTTGAAGAAGCATTGGTGCTTCTTGTGCAAGTTGACAATATAGAAGCGTTTTGTAGAGCTGCCCAGACATTGGTGCGTTATTAATTATTATGGACGACGTGAGACAAATGTAGGCGAGCGACAGCGAGTGCTGACAAGCGACTTCAAATCAGGTCTATACACGCTGGCGCTTCCCTTTACTCGGCAAATTAGGCGAGCAACACCGAGCGATGACAATACAAGACAAACATCATTGGCCAACATGTATAGGCTATAGAACTTTACTCATCCATAGTAACAAAAACACTTCCAAAAGTTATACTGTTATTTCAATAGATCATCATCGTTCCCCAGACGGGCGCTCCAATTCGAGCAGATAATCCGCTATACATAAAACATTTGTCGTGTTAATCATCTGTACAATCTGTCATCTAAATGTGTCGTTCGATGTATGAATACCATTGTAAATTTAAATTAAATAATGTAAACAAATACTTATTTCAGTTTAGGAAAAATAAATAAAAACTAATTAACAAAGGATTTTTTAATATAGATCTACATTTGCAGGAGATCTAGCAAACTAAGTACTTCAATTAAATGTAAAGATCTTTGAGCTAAATAATAAATATCAAGTAATTAACCAACATTTGCCCTCAAATTTTGCAAAAGTAAAGTTGACATATTATTAATAAAACCAGATCGAGCCAAGGGCGCCCGGTGGACGAGAGTCTATATAAGATTATTTATTTATGCAACGTCCGTATGTGCGTGGCATAAGGTCGAAAGTTCAATGTCAATTAAATTTATAATTCAGTGACGCTTCTATGTAAGCGTGGTTGTTAGCTAGGTTTATTTTAGGGCTCACTCGATAGTAGACTAACTCGAAATATTAGATTTTCCTCGAACATGCTTGTAAATAGGGGGATTATTTTGACAACCTTCTTTGAAATTAAAAAAATAAAAATATAACTATAATTGCTATTTCTTCTTTCAAATGTTTAAAACTTGTAAAGGTAGGTATTAATTTGAAATAGTGGGTTACCTACAATGTGAAGAGATGGTGCTGCCTTGCAGCTTAAGAAAGGCTAGAGAGAATTCGACACGGCCATCAGGGCCGCGATAGCATAATGGTCAGTGCATTCGCCCGGATAGCGAAGGGTGCGGGTCGAGTCCTGTCTGCTGCCTGGTCCGCGTGGAATTTTTTCTAGTTTAAATTTTCTTTAGATTTAACCTTCTTTGAGATAAATAGAAATTGCTGTACACTGGCCACATACGAGCGTTGTCGTACATGCGCGCAGCAGCCGGCACAAGTTGTATGAAAAGCCATACCTATCTGTCGTGTTTAGTGGCCAAATAAATTACACAGGAAACTCATATTTGCCGTGTTATTTAAAAAAGAAACGATCTTTTAGTCTGAAAACAGCAACTTCGAACGGGATTTCGAAATAGAAAAATGTTAATGAAAAAAAACAAATGAACAGCTTAACACGGGAAAAATTATTGTCATTGATTTTCCAGAATTTCGAAAGTTCTCCTTAGGTAGGTACTGGTGTCGATTCTGGCGTGATTCTCTAAACTTAAAACTAAATTTAACATCAATCTCCACTGCCGGATTTAGGGGAGGGCAACCGGGGCGAAAACCCCGGGGCCTCCACAAACGGGGGGCCGCAACAATAAAGACTTCGGAAAAAAAATCTTTCAAATTTCAGATAATTCTTGTTTCCGTTTATATTTATATGTGTTTGTTCAATACTAAGGGAATCTACTTGGTTCACAATAAATTATTTATTGAAAAACTCGACTGAAAAAAAAAATTGTTTACTTTATTTGTACAATACAATTTATTTAAAAAAAGGAGATAGAACATAGAATTCTTGGAGAAGACTCTACATTGGCAGCATTTACCATGCTGTGGTAGACATTTACCATCAGACACAGACGCTGCTAGGTGTCAATTTGACATAATTCTCTAAACTTAGCACTAAATTTAACATCAGTCTCTCCTTTTCATTCTGTATAAAGAATGACAAGAATACACTGTTGTCAAATAGGCTAGTTGACCCTTTGAAAATATGTTTTAAAATGGTTAATAATTGTTATATTAGACCGAAAAAATGTATTGTAGTAATTATCATGATTGTATTATGCGAGAATGTAGAAACACAACGTTAAAGACTCCAGAAAAGTTGTAATTTAAATTGCCCAGAGAAATAAACATATCTACACATGAACACATGTTTAAAACTTGCTAAATCCTGTAACTTTATCGACTGAAAGTCATTTCTTTTTGCATAGATCACTTCGGTGTAAGTACTGATTCATTTTTTTTTTAAGTTTATTAATGTACCTACTAAGTAAGAGAGCTTTGTCGTTTCTGCTTTTACAAATTCGGCGTCCAGCATTAATTTAGACAACAAAACCAATAAACGGAAACTCTTCTACAAGATATATATTTTAGTCCGACGAAAGAAACCATAGTAACACAACAATGACGTTTAGTTGTTTATAAATTTTGTGACGTCATTCTGAATTTATGAAGTGAAATCGATGTATTTCAGTTCCTCATACCAAAAACTATAAGAAATAAACATTTGTATAGTTAACGGAAAGTATGCTTCCCTATTCTACTGAGTTATGTTATTTTGCAAATTTGTACAAATTAAAAGAAAATACGTAGATTTTGGGACTGAAGTTAGTAGGTTAGCAGAAAAGGCCTAAAATACGTAGATCTACGTAAAAAGACGTAGAGTTGGCAACACTGCATACCAGTATGGCTTCGGATTCGTGACGTCATTACCACTGATCCTCCACAGTACAGTGTACAGTGGCCAGTATACTGATGTATTTCAGAATACACCCGTTGGTTACTATTTTTAAATTCTTTAAATATTTTAAGTTAAGGATATAGCAGCCATACAGCCTAGCCTTCAGATTTTTTTATTCTTTATGATTGTTTTTTCAATTGTTTTATACAATTTTATTCACTTTATGCTTGAATTACAAAGCTTATAGTCGCGGCACACTAAGATGGCCGTTTTGACACATTGCAATAGTGACGAGAAAAGTCAATTTATTATCGAAATAAGTCTAATACAATCAAAATAATGGTATCGATTCTGGCGTGATTCTCTAAACTTAAAACTAAATTTAACATCAGTCTCTCCTTTTCATTCTGTATTGAGAATGACAAGGATACACTGTTGTCAAATTTAACTTTAGATTTAGAGAATCATGCCAGAATCGACACCAATGTAAGTCAGATCTACGTGCAAAAAATTTAAAATTTATACCAATATTGCAAGAAGTTGTTGATTATAAAGATTGACTAAAACGATAACATAAATGTTTACTCACGCCCAGTGATCCTTTATGTAGCGATCTTAAATCTTAATTTCATGGTTTTATTGAGTTATGATATAACATTGCTTAATGATGCAATAAAACAATCAATTAATTTAATTTACTTAATCATTTATAGATTCTGTGTAATAGCCCGTGTTTTTACGTGAAAAATTATATAATATATTATAACTCTTTTAAACTTGAAAAAGATTTCCGAATTATAAATTATTGCAAGACCATATATATGACAGTTTTGTAAAATTTTAATTCTACGCCCTAAAATTACCGATTCGATGAATTTTATGACTAAATGTGCGTCTCTTATGACAATGAATAGAAATTATTATTTATTACAAATGTAGAACTATTTCGAGTTTCGAATATTAAACTTTATAGTCACACAAACGTCAAAACGGCCATCGTAGCGTGCCGCTTCTATAGTAAATGGTGCCAATTCTGGCGTGATTCTCTAAACTTAAAACTAAATTTAACATCAGTCTCTCTTTTTCATTCTGCATAGAGAATGACAAGGATATACTGCTGTCAAATTTAAGTTTAGGTTTAGAGAATCGTGTCAGAATTGACACCAATATTTATTAAAATGTGATTATCCTCGTAGATATAGGATATAGTATAGATGCTTTTCAGAACAAGTATTTTAGTAGCGTTGTAATAAAGCAGTAATGGTGCCAATTCTGGTGTGATTCTCTAAACTTAAAACTAAATTTAACATCCGTCCCTCCTTTTCATACTGTATAGAGAATAACAAGAATAGACTGTTGTCAAATTTAAGTTTAGATATAGAGAATCGTGCCAGAATCGACACCAATGGATCACTAAATAGCTCGTTGAATATCGCTTCCATCAACAATACTCTTCCATCTGTCAAAAGCAGTTAGCGAATAGGCCTCTTCTTCTTTTATCATTGATAGGCATACATTGGTGTTGATTCTGGTATGATTCTCTAAACTTAAAACTAAATTTAACATCAGTCAATCCTTTTCGTTTTGTATAGATAATTACAAGGAAACACCGCAGTCAAATTTAAGTTTAGGTTTGAGAATCATGCCAGAATCGATACCAGTAAGCCTAGTCGCTACTGCTTTATTATAACGTCATTATGATACTTGTTCAAAGTATCGATGCTTAAGAAATTTTCTCTTTTGATACAGGTGGTACTCTGATGATATGTTAAGGCCAAAAATGTAAGCCAATAGGCCAGCAATAGGTCACGTTCACTCAAACCATAGAGAAAAGTTATACTAAATCCAAGGCTGAGGTGAAAAAAACTAAAACTGTTTTAGTCTATACTTCTTGACAATCATGGCGAGCACGTCGAGGTCTGTTTTTGTAATTTATTTTTATTTCTGATACACAAATCGCCGTTATTTGTTTGATAATCTGCAGAATATTGTTAAATTCAGTATGGCTTTACGTAAGTTGTCAGTAGTGGGAAAATTAGTGCATGAAAGTGCTACAATCTTACCTGATGATTCGATTTCTATTTGCTGGAACGACTGCTGAGACCTACTTTCTTTGTGGTTTTAGAATCGAGGCGAACAAAGTTGTGTGCTATTCTCATCCCGATGCTCCACTCATCGAAGACTACAGGGCTGGGGACATGATATGTTCCGAATGCGGACTGGTTGTTGGTGACAGGTATGTTGAAATGTACCCAAGTTTACAAAACATTGTGTAAAGCGCATATTACAACAGATATCTACAGCTATAGATTTTGCATTTTGTTAAATTTCAGGGTTATAGACGTAGGGTCAGAATGGCGTACTTTCAGCAACGAGAAGTCTGGAGTGGACCCGTCTCGTGTTGGTGGTCCAGAAAATCCGTTATTATCAGGTGGCGATTTATCTACTATGATAGGACCTGGTCGAGGAGATGCCTCATTTGACAGTTTTGGAGTATCTAAATATCAAAATAGAAGAAACATTAGCAGTACAGACAGAGCTCTTATAAATGCCTTCAGAGAAATAAACACCATGGCGGACAGAATCAATCTTCCCAAAACTATTGTGGATAGAGCTAATAATCTTTTTAAACAGGTAGGTTTTGAAAATATCTTATTATAGCTATCTGAACCTTATTCAAGTATTGAACCATCCACTGTGCATAAGACTGCAGTTTTGGACTAAACAATATTATGTAGAATAATGGCACAGTGTTGGTATATAGTCAAGCAAACTTCTTGAGCATCAATCAACCTTAGACTAGGAAGCCTTTGCAGTAGCAATTTTTCATACAAAAATATCTACTTTGCAAGATATTTGACTGTGGTTTTGCTCAAGAAGTTTTCCCCTACCTATGCATCTCTAACATACTGTTTGTTTTTGCAGTTCAATTCCACTTCATTAAGTAAAGCAAAAGATAGGGTGTAGTAATTGGTTGAGTCATTTATAAATCACTTAATATCTATTAATATTATTAATAGTAATAGTAATTACACAACTATCACCATTTTACCTACAATATCAAACATTGTAGAGAAAGCAATGAGTGTTTGAGTTATGATTTTTTTGAAAAATACCAAATATTTGATGATTCACAAAATAGTTTTCGGAAAAAACATTCCACAATTTTAGCTGTATGGAAGTACTTACAAGAAGTTGTTACATTATTAAACAATACAGTGTAGGTATCCTGTTAGATATGACTAAAGCATATGACAGAGTACAACACAATATCTTGCTAAATAAATTGTATGGCATGGGCATTCATGGATTTGCGCACAAATGGTTTGCATCATGTTTATAAGATAGGCACCAGTATTTAGAAATAGAATACTTTGATGATAGTGGAAACATTACATGTGTATGCTCTGATTGTAAGATTATATACACATTTATAGCTCAAGGAAGTGTGATTGGATGTCTTCTGTTTTTGGCTTGCATAAAAAACCTTCCAAAGATTATGGGGGAGCCCTGCATTCTGTTCACAGACGCCATCTCCTTACTTACCTCATGCCACAACAATAACAATAATGATATCAACAATAATTTGAATTACTTCCTTAACAAAACTTTAGACTGGTTAAATGATCACAACTTAAAAGTAACTAATAGAAAAACAGCTATTGTTGCATACTACACTTACGTCCATGCTTGGCTGTGTTACGGGGTTGTGTTGTGAAATAACAGTACGGACGCGCATTTGCTGCTTACCGTGCAAAAGAGGTTGATCCCTATGATAGCCTATATCGAACAGACTGAGAGCTGTAGACCATACTTTCAAGAGTATCGGATACTTCCACTACCATGTTTGTACATTTTGGAAAGGTACAAATTTGTATGCAAGCATAGCAAATTTTACACTAGATAACAAGACATTCCATCTAGATACACATCTCAATACACTCATCATCTCATACTAGACTAAAACTGATGTTTGAAAGTTTCAAGCACATTTAATTTATCTATTAAAATTTATAACAAATTGCCTAATACAATAATGAATGAAAATAAGAAAACTTGACATTTATGAATAAGTTAAATGAATTTCTAATTATTTACAAATGTTATTATAATGTCAATGTGTATTTTAATGATAAAATCGGTAATTATTAATATAATAAAATTTTATGCTAGTTAAAATGAATTTGGTTGACCAATTTTAAAGTATGATTGTGAAAGCAGAAAGAGACCATTGGTCATTTTTGGATTTTTGGCATCAAACTTTAACATGGGTTTGTAGAATAAAAAATTGTTTGTTTCAACAGTGTCCACTGGTAACTTTCTGCTTAACATCACTCAATTGATCCATTCCACTTCAATATCTGGGTTGAAAAAACTTATGAAAGAATATAGTTTTCTATATTTTTATTTTTTTAAGCATTTAACAGATAGGAAAAAACCAAAAATTTAAACATAGTTTTTTGTTTTCTGATAGTCAATAATGATTTAAGGAAATTGCATTAGACATATTAATGAATAAGTTATTTCTCTCCCATTCTAGGTACATGATGGTAAAAATCTGAAGGGTAGAGCAAATGATGCTATTGCTTCAGCATGCCTGTATATTGCATGCCGACAAGAAGGTGTGCCTCGCACATTCAAAGAAATCTGTGCAGTCAGTAAAATTAGTAAAAAAGAAATTGGAAGATGTTTCAAGCTTATACTCAAGGCATTGGAGACATCTGTAGACCTAATTACTACAGCAGACTTTATGTCTCGGTTCTGTTCAAACCTCGGTCTGCCTAATTCTGTTCAAAGAGCAGCTACGCACATCGCAAGGAAGGCAGGGGAGCTGGATATTGTTTCTGGTCGCAGCCCTATTTCCGTAGCCGCAGCTGCAATTTACATGGCCTCTCAGGTGAATATGGTTTATTATAATAAATTTGAATTTGTAAATCTGCTGATTAATTCAATAAATCCAGTATTCATACACAGCTATTTATATCTTTTGATGTAGTCGACAGTCTCTTTACTATGACTGAATTGCAAGAAAAGCTATGCCTCTGAATGTATGTAATACTAGAACTTTTTGTTTCGATCAAAGCCTAACTAATTTATGAATAGAATAAATGCATTATAGATGAATCTTTAACAGCTAGTATGGTTAATCTATACTAATATTATATACAGAGGAAAGATTTTATTGTTTGTTTGTATTGAATCCGCTCGGCTCCGAAACTACTGGACCGATTCGAATTTTTTTTAACATTTAGAATCCTTCATTATCGGTGAAAAGTGTATTTAAAAAAAGTTTGTGTTCCGTATGAAAACGCCAGGCCACTAGTATTATATATTTAGAATGTAAGTACTGTTTTGACTTACCTGCACAGAAAGTACAGTTGTAGACCGAGAAGCTAGTTTTGAAAAGCAGGGCTAGTAAATAATTTGTGACTTCTATTTCCAGCAGCAACAGTGCCAAATATTTGATTATTTTAATTGTAACTTGATTATTTATTACACATAATAAAATAGATTGTTTCTTTTCATTTCAAGATTTTGAGACGTTTTTTTTAATGTTTAGAAGAATAAAGCTGTAATTTTTTACAAACTGATTTAATTTTCTATAGTTTTGTTGGTATTGGCATTTAGCCCACGTGGAAGCTTTACTACTAAAATACCTTCTTATCAAATAGGGTTCAAGTTAATAAATAAATAAATATTTCCAAACTCACACCAATTAGCCTAGCCCCAATGTAAGCACTGTAAGGCTTGTGTTATGGGATACTAGAGTAACGGATAGAATACATATATAAGTATATTTATATAGAAGTACATATTAAACATCCATGACTGGAGTACCAATGCTCGTATTCACCTCACCCGGGACCTCTCGAGTCGGCGACACCATGAAACCCGGCGTATAAACGACTCGGCCACGTAGGTCTTCAACGTTAATAACAATTATATATTTTTTCCAGGCATCTGATGACAAACGCAGTCAGAAAGATATTGGCGATATTGCAGGCGTGGCTGACGTCACCATTCGACAGTCGTACAAGCTCATGTATCCATTCGCTGCCAAGTTGTTCCCTGAAGACTTCAAGTTCGCTACACCCATTGAGTTCCTGCCACAGATGTAAAAGTGATATATATCTTAAAGAAGACATAGGTACCTCTCTCATGGAGTAAACATCTGTGAGTTTCCTTTGGCATTTTTTACATATTTCATCCCTAGTTATTACATACAATCTTTCCTTATTGAATGTGATTGTAAAATTGTTAAGCACAGGCATAGATGTGGTAATACCGTAATTTTAAAATCACTTTAGTCATTCTGTGTAGTGAATTTAATCTGTGTACTGAAAAATCTTAAGTGAAGCTTAACACTCAATGAGCCTTGGAGATCTTTATCGAAAGATTTTCCAAACAGAAACCAAATCATTACTGAAGTGTGATTTATTGTATGACCAGCATGCGAAAAGAGATCTTTATTGATTGCTGAAGAATTACAAACTTACATCAAATTGTGATTACCAATAGTTTTTTTTAAACAGATACCAATTCTGTACTCTAGTGAGTGTACAATATGATCAGCTTAAGAACTAGATATGTTTTGCCCGTTTTATTATCATTTCAAATATTTAAATACTTTATGAAATACTTGAGCTCTATAACTTACTATAGTAATGTTGTTTTAAAGCAAAAATCTCAGAATATTGGTCCGAAATAATCTTATTCTTTGTTATAATAGCCAAATGTTTAGTAAAGTTTTTTTCTAATGTTTGGGCCTACAGAAAAGCCTAGTTACAGTTGCTATTGTTAGACAATAATACCTGTATTTGCAGAAATATACAGGGATTATAGAACATAATGCTTTTTTTTATACTGAACTACAAAAATATGATAGGCTTACAAAATTTCTTTATGTATTATAAAATACAAATTTGAAGAAAGATTATCAAAAAGGGACAATTATACCTAAATCATAACGCAACATTGGTAGAAAAAGTTAAAGAAAATTTCACTTATGTTTAACTTTCTATTCTTAAATGACGGTTTTGACTTATTTTATAAGAAAGACAGAGTAATATTGATACTTCTGTTTGGTTTACAGTTGTAACTTGATAAATAAAAATCCATTGTAAAAATTTAAATACAAAATGCACTGCATGTAACTTATTGACCATTAAAACAAGAACATTGTTTTTTCCAATACAGCTTTGTACATAATTAATGCCAGACTGATTTTAAGCCATGCTAGGATTGTATAGTTATGAAATCTAACAATAGGTATGTGAATTCATCTCTTATGTTTGTTATGTATCATCATTGTTACTTTCATTTCACTCTCAAACTATAATCAAAATATAGTATATGGTCCTTATATTATAATGCAGCACAAATTTTGGCGAAACGGCTGTATGCATACATATACGCATATACACTGAAATTTCAGTAAATCTTGGGAAAATATTGTTGATTTTAAAGTCTAGATTTCGTATACGCGTGTAACCGTTATGCACGATTCTATTGCTGTGCTTGTTTAAGTATTTATTTTGTGATTTACGTGTCTCATAGAAGTCAAAAGACTTAACACTCCACTCTGTTAGTGCTTATCTCTATTATTATTCAGCCATAATTTTATATATCACACACTTTTAATAATACTAATGGACATGAGGCCAAATAAAAGTATCGTCTTAGTAGGGAAAGGTCTGTGCGATATATTAATAAAAGTCTGTGCGATAAATAATCATTTATCTGAATATACACCCCGGAAAACTTCTTGAGCAAAGACCATGGACAAAGAAGCCTGCATAGCCATTTTATATACAAAAATGTCTACTGCGCAGGTTTATTACTCTGTTTAGCTCAAGACAAGTATGTCGTTACCTTTATCTGTTCACTCATTTTCTGTTTTATTAAGACACTGCAATGATTTTCACCAACTCTTTCTAGTTTTACGTTATTATTTCGATAGATACCATCCGACCATAAGTTGGACAAATTGTTATTGTGAATTGTGATGCTTAAGTAAGATGACAACTATATGATTTTATTTAACGATGCTTGTGTGGCAAATGTATAAGTTCGCTAAATGTAACTTTTTTGTGTATGTTAGTATGTTGCCAGTTCTCATGGCTCTTCCATCTGTATAGTCAAGACCTCATCGGTAGTTACATTTCATACCGACAGCACCTTTGTTACGTAGCATTGTGGGCTATATTCCTAGTGAAAGTTTATCTGACTGTAATTTGTCTTGACTGAACCAAAATGTTGGATTTTGTGAAGTAGTAAATTTTTTATCGTCTTCTGTTTTCTATGATGTAATAATGATACTGACTGTATATAATAGATAGTTTTATACAAAAACTAAGAGAAAATATCGTTAATAATATTGATTGCCTTAACTAAGTATATTATAATACGGTTTAATTTCATATATTCAAAAGGCGTGTAAGGTATTGTTACCAACGGTAAATTTTATTGAAAAACAGTGATAGTATTGACCAATATAATTATTATAATTTGTACCTTAACCACCCTTCCTTATTAATAAACGAAGAATAAGCTTGGATTCTTAGATTATATCATATTAGCAGCAAATAAAATATGATCCGACTCATCTACATAAGCAACTCTTACATACGCACACGTCTGTATATAAACATTCAATCGAGCGAGCACAGACAGAACGAGTCTGTACGGCTGAGCTGTATTGTTGTCCTTTTGGCAACAAAATGGCGATTACGTACAAAATATTCACGGCAAACCGTGATTTTTGAGAGAAAAATGTTTTACAGTTTTATGAATGAAATGAATTAATGAAAAGTGAAAAGTGACTTTGAACTAATTGTGTTCTATATAAAATCATTGAAGGCATTGTTTTATCTTTATAACACAGAATATACGCAATATTGTTATATTGAGTGTACATGCAGCGTGTTTGAATGTCCACTTGTGACTACAGCGAATAGTGATCGTGCACCACAATTTAAGCGGATCACTTTTGAGCCGCGAGTGCCGTATCTTTCCTTTTTGTTTTAATCTAAGCCTGGATTAGTTACTCCATGTTTTGTCTCTTTTCATTGAATGACATATGGCATTTCAGTGATATAAACAAAACGCGGCGTAACTTGTCTAATCTTATTTCTCGTTTATTAATAAGGGGGGGTAGATGTATAAACAATAGGTGCTTCAAAATTGATTGTTCTTTTCATTATAATAATTTGGAATTTGATTTGGTACTGTATGTATAATGTTTTTTCAAGTTGCTATGTTCTACCACAAAAATATTTTTTTGGTTAAATTAAAAGCATTATTTTGTCTATTAAAGCAGCTCAGTAATGTAGGAATATTTTTTATGTTTTCATGAACATCTTGGTTGAACTAGTAGAAAATTACCTCTAAAAATATCTATTAGCTGAATGTAATGTGAAGTGTAAGCGACAAATTGTTATTACCATTATTTTTATATAAACAATGATGATGCCAATAGTTATTGTAGTGAATCTGACTACGTTTGTTCGGAACATTATGCGCAAAAACCTGTTTCCATTAGTTTTACAATAATGTTGTATGTTAAGTGTGCAGAGTGGCTGTTCGCGTAAACATACAGATTTAAAAGAGCATTTAAATAGTGCCACAAAGTGGCTGTACGCTTCAACGTAAAATTATTAAAGAACAGTTTTAATAAAGCCATTTACTGGAAATAGAAGTGCACTACAATTACTCAATGAAACAAGTCACATTCACACAGACGCGATTGAGTTTAACCTAGAACTCAAGTCAATAATGTTTCCAGAGCCCTAAAGGGCCTAATGTGAATGACCTTTTAGGCATGGATGGTTTGTGCGAGATACCAATTTGTCGTATCAAAACTTTTCTTGATCTTTATTATCTTCTCGTAAGTTTTTACTAATTCTTTCGCGTCTGCGTAAATATGAAGTTTTACAGCGCCATCTAGTGCATAAAGTAGTGAACTATAATGTTACTCCACAATCGTTTTAACGTTTGCACTCTGCATATTTAGTTGCGATGTTATATAGTTTTTTACATAGTTTAGTACTAATGACCTAAAATGTGTAAATGTTTGCATAAAAAACAGCATTCTCAATAAATTGTATTATGCGTCATATTGGTATGTAATATGTATTGAGGCGTATTACTTATTAATAAGTTAGTTAAAGTTAGTCTTATGATTATATTATGCCACAAATAAACGTATTTTTAAGTTTATTATTGTTTTTCATTTAAAAATAATTAGCTGTGCCCAGTACTGTTACCCGCGGTTTATTAGTCATATTTTCCCGCAGTAAAACGTAGCCCATGTGTTAATTCAGGGTATCAGCTAACTTCATATTGAAATCGCTCCAGTCGTTTAGTCTGTGTATGTTTAACAAACATACACAGTCACAAACTTTCGCCTTTATAATATTAGTGTGATATAAAGCTCTCTAAGGCCCGTATTACAGAAAGATTCTCAGTGATTGATCAAGTCTTGAGCATAGTTAGAATGGGATGTCGCTATATATGGCACATAGCGACATACCTTTCTAACTGTACTTAAATAAAGATCAACACTTAGTTGTCATTCTATAGTACGGGCCTAAAACTTAGAATTTGGAATGTTCTTATGAAAAAGGGTAGCGAATAGCGAAATATACGCTGTGCACCTTACAGAAGATCACTGTAAAATAACACTATCTTTTGGTGGCGTTGTGCTGAATTTCTGTCTGGGAATAAGGTTTTCAAGGAATTTAGGACGGCTGCAATGCAATTTTTTCACAACTGCATTGCCCTCACACTTGCATCGAGTGGGGTGGATTAATTTGCTGTGATTAATAAATAATTATATTATATAAAAAAGAATAGCCATGCCAAAATCAAACTGAAAAGCAGAAAAAAAATGTTCAAGGTTATTGCAGCCGAAGAACCCAATTATGTACAATTCTTTTTTATCTAATGATGATAGTAATCCCAATTTTTTTGAACTTAATATAGGTACTGAAACTGTAAAATGTTAATTAATTGTAGGATGTCCTACAGGTCCTACTAAAAAATAAGTGAATCAAACATAATATTTTTATTGACATTTATTGACATTTTTATATAGTTTACAACATTGATATTATATTGTTAATAATTAATGTAATTTTATAAGAATTTATTGTTAGCTTGAAAGGACGACTACACTATTGAATTAGGTATATACCTGTTATAATGGTGTAATGTATTTTGAATAAATAAATAAATGATTGCCCTAAGGGTTGGAAAATAGGGGTGATTGTTCACGCACAGATTTTGAAACCGCTGAAAAGTAAAATATAAAAAACGAGTGTACTTATGACCATACGACTGAAGCGAAACTTCCTTAGCTCCATCTGTATGTATATATATTTATATAATTTCATTTACTAGCTATAAGAGAAAGAGGGAAAGAAAATGTGCGCGCACTACTTTCTTTTGCTTATATCCCCCACTCAACTCCCGTTCGCCTCGCCCGAACACACTTTTCGTAATGCGTAACGCATTCGCCAGCTTACCACTCAAGTCAAGCGTGCGTAAAAAAGTTTCACTTTAATAAAGCTTTTTTATATCTATAGTCTAATATTTGGAGTCTGTGCTATGCAGGTCTGATAGATCCGAGTTCTCATATACTACTTGGGTTGGCCTGGCACTGGCACCGACTCTAAATATTAATTTGACTTATAATATAAAAAAGGTATATTTTTACTTTTCGGTGGTTTAATGATTTTTAACAAGTACCTATTCTATATTTTAGAAAGTATGTTATGTAGGTAGGTGCAACCAGAACACATCCAGCGTTATAGTTAATTTATATTCCCTGAAGGTTTACGCTGGTAGGTACCCAACTAAAATCACCGCTCCCATTTCACAGGACACATGATGGTACGTGGTCGAAATATAAATTGTCGGCCCTTACGCACATTCACATCATTTAAATACAAGCTATATTAGTGATGGGAAAAGACATTTTTTTATTGTAATTATAATGATTTAAGCGTAAGTTAGAAATCAAAGCGCCTGTGTTGGGAAGTATCTTAGTAGATCAGTAGGTACCAGGGGCGTACGCTCCCCCCCCCCCCCCCTAAAATTAGTAAAATAAATCGAATTATAAGTCAGTATAGGTAGCGGCACCGGCAAACTTCTCAAACAACACCACAGACAAATATAAACTTGCGCTGTAGACGTTTTTGTATGTAAATTGCTTCCTTGTCTATGGTCGATGCTCAAGAAGTTTGCCGGGGTGCATAACACTAATGCCTTTATATGGCTTCTACCGCCCCTCGCAGTTCTTGCAGCCGCCCCGGGCTATGGTTCTCTTGGCCCCAGCGTAAATATGCTTACTGGGGGACGGCGGGCTCGCATTGCACTGGATGCTGATGCTCCTGATACTCCGGGGCATCTCCATCGGGTGGGTCCTGCGGGTGCGCGGACAGTCGGAAACGGTTGCCGACTACACCCGCACTCCTGGCACGCATTGGTCGGTCATTGCACCTCGGTCCTCATAATGCGTGTCGGTGACCTGTGCAGGAGTTTTGTCTGGTTATTAGTGGCCCTGTTCAGGGCGTTAGGTAAGGCCCGGCTAAAAAAAGGGTAAATATGCCCTGGCAGGGCCCGGAGCCGCAGGCTGCGAGGGGTGGTAGAAGTCATATAAAGGCATTCGTTACTGACCTATATTTTGATTTGATTTACTTATTCTAGGGGAGTGGAGGGGGGGGGGGGTTGAAATAGTCAAATAAATAAAGTATGTAATGTGATCATCACGAAATAATAAGAAATTAGTGGCCATCCATTTATTTTCCGCTTACCGCTTACGCTTAGGGGTGTATTTTGCGCCCAGGGCCACTTATTATTAGCAGTCCTCCCTAGAATTAAGAAATCAAATCAAAATGTAGGTCTTGTAACGAATGTCATTTCTATAACTTTTGCCGCCCCTCGCAGCTCTTTCAGCCGATCCTCGTAGCCTGCCGCCCCTGGCCATGGGCCTCTTTTCTATTATTCGCAAAAAAGCTTTTATTTTACAATGAAAACCACACCAGAAAAAATACATAGGTACCACGATAAATATAAAACCTTCATGTTCGTTTAAAGTCGGTTAAAAATAAAATAAATTACATGTAACATCACTACGATGCCTAGTCACGTAGATCACATGTAGGACCACAAGGAAACGGGAATATTTACTATCATACAAATTAGTACGCAGTCAGCCAGTACAATGGCCCTTTTGTGTCCTATAACAATTTTACTGGAAAGTGGTTTGTTACAGTTTGTCAATCTTTTTAAAGTTTATAGTCGCATGCAATCAATGATACAAAGACATTAAACCTTTTTTTCGTTATGCTGGCGACGCATTCAACAGTTATTCGTGTGATAAAACCCATTTTTTTATTGTTGAATATTACTGTTGATGTTCAAATGCCCTGTAGGGCTTTAAACGACCCCTTTGATTGCTTTGCATAGTCTTTTGAAGCTGCAGCAAATATAACCGCCTTATAGCATCAAGAATGAGAAATATAAGAAACTTTATATATCATTTTTAAGTACTTAAAGTTAAACTTTAAATACTTTAAACTCGATCCAATAGCTAAAGAAAATTCTATACTCTATAAAAATAGAGTGTAAGCGTCGCCGCACACGGGCCACACGCCACAGCCATAAAACGCCGAAACCGGCATATTTCTTGTAGTTTTCATACATTTTATATGGACTCGCCACACACGGTACGCCGGTGGCCGCCACACGCTACAAATCGTCGTTGCTCGCTTCTTGTGGCCCGCACCGGTCACTTAATGCGTCGATACAAAACGCCGCCACACGTCACTCGCGCGATTCCACACCCCTCTCTCCCTTACCTTAGTCGGCCGCTGTCGCGCGCTTCAGCCACTTTAGTAGCCGCTTCTAGCTTCTCGTGGCGGCAATCGTGGCTTTGGCGTGTGGCCCGTGTGCGTTGTGGGTGGCCGTAAATTTTGAAGTTTTTAAGGGAAGGTTTTACATTGTACGCTAATATTCGAAATCAGAGTGAAATGAAGACAATTTTTTTAAGATATACGTACATAGGTACCGAGTGTTACTGTCTATTTTGTTTTTTGTTATCTCAAAGATGTAGTGGTAAGAATGTGATCCAAGCAGGATTTTTTTCGGTACATAGGTACCAAGTGTTTGTTAACAGTTTAACATACCAGTTTAAAAATAACAAATTCAAGTTTATTTTTGGTCTAAAAATAGTTCCTAACATTTTCTTCATTTCTAAATATAGGTAGGCACTAAAATTCATCAAAATTGTTTAATCGCTTCAAGCGCAATAAAGAGAGTTATTTTAAAATTTATGTTATTAGTATAATAGTATCCAAGGAAGTGGTATAGATATCGTTTATTTATCCCATGGTAACTACTATCTTCGTGCCGCGAGACTATTTTCGTTAGTGTAAACAAATTCATCAATACTTTATTTTGCAGATGCTCTACGAATCGCAGAAACATTTAGATTAATTGTCCTTAAATTGTACTATATATTTCGGTGTCTTTGAATGGAGTTGATTAATGGTTCGGATCAGAAGGGGTTACAAGGACAGATGAAGGTGCTATAGATGGGTATCTATGAACCCAGGGTTAGCCCTAAGGACGTGCACCACGTTGAGCGGCAATAGAAAAAATCGCGCAGTGACAGCGGGGCGACGGACGTACCAGCATTTAACTTAGGTAAGCATAAAGCGCTCTGCCTACTTTACCGTAGTTACCGTCATATCATGATCGTACTCATCATCATCATCAGCCTATTAATGTCCCCACTGCTGGGGCACAGGCCTTCCCTATGGATGGAATAGGGAAATTGGGCCATGACCCACCACGCGGGCCCAATGCGCATTGGCGGGGGCTAACAACTGCAGATGCAGCCGGGACCAACTGCCCTTCCGGAGGAACTCGAGATAGAAGATTTTTGGTCACCCATCCAATGACCGACCACTGCGAAAGTTGCTTAACTTTAACGATCGCAGCCGAACGCGCTAACCACCTGCGACTTCGAGCTCCTCATGAATCGTACTATGAATACCTATACTATTAGGCACGGAAAGCAATTCTATAAGCTCTATTATGTCCACTGAAACTGATCGTCGGAGTTCTATGTCCGTTTGCAACATTCTTGTGTAAAATTCAACAACATTGTGAGGTGACGAAGTGATTGTGTGGCGCATGGTCGCTTATGTATTGATGGCTGTTTTTTCTCTCTTTCTGGAGAGTTGTAGATTTCATGCAACTGTCGTTCAGTCCATTCATTATCTGTCTTTGCTTGGCATGTAGGTATCATTGGAGCCCGATGTCAGTTTTGGAGAAATGCGTTTCTGGTGGTATATTAACTACTCTACTTTATGAGTCCAAAACCATCCTGTTTCTTTCTTTACTCATCTGCTGTCCATTTCTGCGTGACGTACGGGCGGGTGTCCGGCGCGGGATCGCTTAACGCAGTGCTTGCCCTAAGTTTACGGTCACCGCCACTGTGTACAAGATAAAACTTCTCAGATGGCAATTCAGATTGGTCGGGTTATCAAAATAATGTTAACTTTTCCCTACATTTTATACAATTCCTGTGTTTAGGTCAGCTGTGAAGCTCTCTGAGTGTGATAATATCTGAATGTCGCGTTCTTCCTCCTTATCTTGAATATGTATTGTTGTTAGTATTGTGTGTTCTGATAAGTATTTTATTAGAGTGTTTCTTCGGAGTTTTACTTTTGAAATATGAGGTAAGTAGGAACTGTGACCACAAAATAGATAGTACTGTGACTCTTATAATGACACAAGATCCAAACACCGCCAGACCTTACCTTTTTTGTCATGGACAAAGTATGGAGAATTAAGTAGGTAGTATTAGTGTGTAAAATGAACGTACGCATACTCGCTAACTTATGCTGTGGGTTAATTTTCAGGTATCAGGTGGCATAGGCACGTAAATATTTTACTCACTTTACTTATAGTCCGAGGACTAATTCCTACGCATATTGTAGAGAATATTGTAAACAATTTTATATTAAACTAGTTGACCGGCGAAAAAATAGGAGTTGGTGGTAGAAGAGCGAAAATTTTAGATTATATTTATTTTTGTATGATGTATCATAAAAAAATAAAAAAAAAAATCTAAAATTGAAAAAAAAATTTAGGGGTGGATTTCCCTTAACATGTAGGGGGATGAAAAATAGATGTTGTCCGATTGTCAGACATACTGGAATATGCATATAAAATTTCACGAAAATCGGTCGAGCCGTTTCGGAGGAGTTTAACCAGAAACACCGCGACACGAGAATTTTATATATTAGATAAAACTAGTTTTAACAGGTTAATGCACGAAACTTTATTTATTTATTGACGTTTCGCTGCCTTTTCAGGTCTGCTTCGTCAGAAACGTCAATAAATAAATAAAGTTTCGTGCATTAACCCGTTAAAACTAGTTTTATTTAATGAGATTTGTGCGTGAAAACCTAAGAAACAAAAAAATATATTAATACTGCGAGACACATTCTGACAGCATTTTTTGATGCCAGAAACTTTTAATGTCGAAAGCAAAAAACACAAAATGATTGATTTGTGAGTAATATTTTTAAAGTAAAGTAATTAAAAGATTTCCTCTGGCTTTGTGGCTCTTAGCAGTAGGTGGACGAGTATAACCTAATTTGTAACAGTGATTGACACGACTTCTTTGATTTCTGCAAAGCAGTTAAGTACTGTCCGAAATATAACATCACCTAAAGTGTATTTTCGGTAAGATGGAGGATCAGGCAGGCACTCTAATTCGAAATGGGAATCCGCTTTGCCCTACTTCTTGTAGGTCGTAGATGAAACAAACTGAATTGTACAGCAAATCAAGTTCCATCTTGAAATACCGATGAACTGAACCTGATTTAAAAAACTAGGTAATAAACCTAAACCTGATTTAAAAAAACTAGGTAATAAACCTAGTTTTTTAAATGAGGTTCAGTTTATCGGTATTTATTTAATTTAAGTTATTTTTTTAAATCAGGTCTAGGAAACTTTTAGTGCACCAATTGCAAAAGTAGTACATTAAAAGAAATCAATAATTAATTCAGAAAAAAACATTCAATTCTTTTCCTTTTATTCCTTCTGATACGTTCAAATGATAAGCCGTCTTATCTGTGCAACACCATGGAAGTAAACAAAAAAAAAAGTTGCACAGTAAAACAATAACTGCAGACAATCGGGCACCAATCGAATAACAAACGAACGAACAACACAAAGGGGTTACTTTCTGAAAAACGATCAATTCGCTACGCGGATTTTCCAAAAGCTACGCGCTACGGCTAGGGTTGGCCCGCTTGATATTCTGCCACAAGCTCTCTCGAATACGAACTTTGTCTCGAAAGTATTCAGTCTAGCGCGTGACACCGTGACGTACGGACGTGTCGCAGCTTTGCCCGTAAGCGAGCGCGCGTGTTTACACTCGCAGGCATTCACCTCCTAATCCAATTATAAAGCACAATAATGATGCGTAAGTGACCTCACCGATCGAATTATAATGGGATGATCCGGTGATTAGTAATCAATATGCGGTTAGAAGTTTTCTCAGTTTAAAGTTACCGAGTGGAAAATGTTTCTGGAAGATGTGAGTTCGGAAAAATGTTGAGGGCGTCCCGCGCGCGATGCACGCACCTCGGATTACTCTGGATTTTGTACGCGTATTCCGTCGATGGATACATAGGTAATATTCAGTTATTTATTTACGTAACAGTTGGAATTTTTATTGGTTTCTTAGGTTTTCACTCATATCACTCATTAAAACAAACAATTTTCAACGGGTTAGATGCGGCTAATTTTTCTGCAAAGGCTGCGAAGCGTCAATAAATAAACAAAATCAGTCCATCTTACCCGTTGAAACTTGTTTTATTTAGTTGGAATTTATGTTATATATGTATGATGTGATGTCAAGGTACAGTTGGCGAAGTCGACTGTCTTTCATTTTCAGGCGGAAAACGTTAGATTTTCATATCTGCTATTGACTTCATTGACTGTGCCGCCAGGGTTTCCGTTGTGTTTTCATCTTCAGGACATTTAAATTGGCGATTTTCTGTGTTAAATTGAAATGCCTCGCTGCATTTGCATGGAAAACATTAATAAAAAACAGCAGAGGCCACGACAGTACCTAATATGTATAATTAGGTACTACTACGCGTAATAGAACAATCATAATAAGAAATTTTAAGAAAAAACAGGTTTGAGCTCATTTGGTAAGAGGGAGCATGTTTTAATTTTATTTGCCTCTTCTGTGTTGATTCCCAGGAGCATTTAGTTCATAATGAAGTAAAATCTTTGTCGTGTTAACGCTACGATTGATAGATTATTTATAGGTACTAAAACTAATTTTCTTGTACAGAAATACTGAATATTATTATTTGTTTTTCTGCTTTAAGAGTTGTGTTGAAAATATTATTTCGTTCGCTCCAGTATTTTTTTTTGGCCCACATTTTCGCTGAAAGTGCGACTTGTTCGTGATACCCCGAGGTTTAGGGCCACGAGGTCGCTGTGAGCTCTGAAGACGGGCTTAGAGCTTAAAAAATATTTTGGTAAAGTCAAAAACTTATTTGGAAATCGAAAAAAAAAACCACTTTTTTCGACCGAAAAATCGTGTGTTCTCACAGACAATTTCCAGTAACTCGAGATGCGGGCGGAATTTCAAAAATATGAAAAAAAGCACCACGGAATTGAACTAAGGAACATTTTAGGTCATTACACTTTTTTCGATATTGGTGACGGTTGAGGCTGTAGAGGTGCCCTGAGCAGCTAGTTTCAGCGGCGGCGCAGCGGGCGGGCGGAGGACGTATGAGAGCTCAAAAGACGCGGAATTCGAAGGACTTTAAGATGATGTAAAATATTTTGGAAAAGATGGTTTTATAAAAAAAATTTTTTTTGGTTCCCCGTCCACAAGCCCAGATGATACATTCTTAGCGCTGCCATGGTTGCTACCTACTCTATAAACAGATCAAGTGGTGGACCTCCTTCCACTATACGAGCGCTTTTCAAGGGCGTTTGTGGGTGAGGATTTCATGCAGCTATAACAGGCTGAACATGCTATTCTTTGAAAACGCTGCAGTTTGTTAATTATGGTGTTGACTTTAGTTCTAGGTCACCAAACTGTTGCACAGTAGGTGATGAGTATGTTTGTCAATTTATTTACATAAATAAAAAAAGAACTCAGCTTACATAGGTAAGGAGTTTATTTTTGAATCTACGCAGAAGAAATGAAGGACAAAGGATTGTTAAATATCTAATTAGAAACTTTCACCATCAAAACTTGTTCGGAACAATTTATATTCAAAATCATGAGTCCAAACAAAATCGAATCCGAGCTAAGCTAAAGGTAACTTTTTTCATAGTATTGAAGCAATATTGCAAAAACATAATAATTTAAGAATTTAATACCTTCCTATCCCTTTTAGGAAAGCAAAATCATAATCAAGTTCAAGCTTTTTTTACTATCGTTATCTTCCTGGTAAAAGCTTACTCGTAAACTTATCTATTCCCACTGATGGGTTATTAGCACAGGACACAGAAAGAGGCTAGAAGGGCCTTGTGGGAGAGGCAGGCGCGCCACAGTTATGTGTGAGCGAATGCTCATAACTTGAACAAAACTTGGTTCGTTCAACGTTGCTCTCGGGTGTGATCGCTGATTGGTACGATTGTTTGATGTCGCGTCATTTGATTGGCTATTATCTTTTAGGTGGAAGGGTAGTTGGGGCGAGCCGAAGTCTCTGATCACAGTTCTAACCTCTTTCTGTGTTCTGTAGTTATTAGGTTGCTAATAGGCGTTACTTATTTCCAAATAATAAAATGTCATTGTTTAACTTACATTTCAAATTAAGCAAATTTTTCGGTACGATACAAAATATATGCGAAGTCATTTTATTCAAATTAAATTATCCACAGTGTTGAAATTATCAGTGATGACAGCTTTGAAAGAACGCAATCAACCCCTAATTTTGAACCCTACAGAATATTTTAATTTCGTGCAGATAATTGTTACGTTTAAAGGCACCCCTACTACGAGACTTTTAGGTATTCTCGATTCGAATCCGATTGGGATGAAACTTTATGACTTCCTGATGGAGTTTTAATAATGTTAAAATAAAAGTGCAGAATATATTTCGTTTTAAGATATTTTTAATAAACGTGACTGCTTCTATTTATTGTTTTTAATAGTTTTATTCTTTTAATATCATTCATTGCAGGATTTTAATGATATTTATTTGTAAATACACAAAAGCAATAAACATGGGTTTTTTCCATTCAAATATGCATTTCGTGATTTGTTTTTTTTTAAAATCTAGTAATTACTTATTTCATTACTACTATTTTTTAATCTACCATCCAACCCTCCTATTCTAAATTTAAATTTGCATCTATCATTAGTAACATGAATACATTTTCTATTAAAATCGATAGAATTTTCTTAAAAAAATAAGAAACTAAGCAGTCTTCTGAAAAAGCTCGCGAGTGTATGCAAGAGTTCGTAGCGAGTGTCTAATGCCGCTTCCTATATACTAAAAAAGTAAACTATAAAACTTATTGAAATATCTATAGTCTAAATGATGATGTCGTTAAGCTGGAAAAGGGAGAAAAACAGCCCTTACTGAGTTTCTTGCCGGTTCTTCTCAGTACAAGATCTCCCGCCGTAGTTTTGCGAGCCCATGGCGTAACTTCTCGCACAAGTGTCTAGGCTGTTACAAGCACTATTGAAGCACAAGTGCTTGTAACAACAGACTGAATAAAAGATTTTTAAGTTTGAGTTTGTATTTGACTGTACAAAAATATACAACTACATATATAGTGATAAGACTAGACCAACCACTTCAAAATATATAATTCGTATTGGTTTTAGTTGATAATTAAATTGCCATATCCGGACACAGAATAAATTAGGACTGCATTATAACCACTGTAAGCGAAAATCGAGAAATCGTAGTAACATTTGGATTATGACATGCGACCTTAAGTCCTCGTCGACGCGTCGTAGGGCATAATTTTTTATCGAACATGAATGTGGCCCGATTTACCGAGCAGCATCGATCTTTACAATTTGGGGAGAGATTTCTATTGTGTATATTCATGAAGCGATTCGCAAATACGAAACGCATTTATTGATATAGATCGATTTAATGATATTGAATAGCTCAAAATGGCAGTAGCTATGATGTAGCAGTTTTTCAATTGTATTTTTTTGGTTTTATTTTTGTTGCTTTACTTTCTTGTTCGGTCTTAGATTGGAAAAATGAATGATTCTAGTCTTTTTATTGGTTAAAAATATCTTATTTAATGTTGTTTTATTTTGTAGTTTTGCTGATAGTACGGAGCTTATTCAAATCCTCAAATTACTTAATCATTCACTTCCAACAACGTTCAGCGTTCGTCCTTCGCCAGCTACAACTCGAGTTAAGTTAAATAGGCGAGTTAAGTTAAATAGGTAGGTACGTATCATTTTAACGAAACGATTTGAATAGAATATAATTTCAGTTTCCAAGGATCTTTACAATTACAAATTGCGACTGACGACATCAGTACAAACCTACCTAACAATAAAGTCGTTTGTTTAATGAATTCCGAAGTCAACTCGCAAACTTTGGTCGTTGAAAACTTTTATTGAATTTAGTAGACAATTAAAAGGAATTTATATAAAGAGTTCACATACTTTATTTCATATAGATCTTTGTATATTAAATCAACATATTTTCACGTAACATAGCATCAAAGTTGCCATAGAAAAATATAATATACCACTTGTATAATATGTATTTTAAAAGCCCGAAAGACCCAGTTTAGAATATCTTAAAAAAATCTATTAAACTTACCACCAACGTGTCGCATCGTCTGTGTGTTAAAGGGCTCATACGCTGGACCTTAGCTAAACCTCGGAGGAGCTATAAGATTAGAAATTAATTAATCGTCAGTGCGAAAACATCATGACATAGCATATTATAACATGTTCCGCGTGTACTGACGGTTGGTGGGATTTATTATTATGTGTTAATGTCGATATGAAGCTATTAGCGTTACGCACCTTGGTTGGTAACAGAACAGCAAGGGGTGGGTGAGTAATTGTTATCTTCCTTTATTCGCATTGATGATGGGCCCCCGTTGTGAGAAGTCAACCATAAAAGGATGGGACATTGAGATATTAAAATGTTTAAGGTAAACTTTTAACGGTAATTCAAAGAAGGTGGTAATCAAGGACCTTTGTAACTTTAGCTTCAGGTACTTAAGTGAAGAATGAAAAATGATATAATATTGCTTCAAAATGTAATAGGTATTTTCGATTGGATTCAAAAAACATTAAAATGGGGTATTTTATTATTATTTTTTCTGCTAGAAAAAAATAATTTTAATAGAAAAAAAAACACTTGGTTCACAATTTATAGTACTTAAATATTTTCTTTAGATTTATAAATGTTACAGTAAATGTCTAACTAACTGATATAATATGTTATAGTTTTTAACCAAGGAAAAATAGAAAGATAAGGTTAATTATGTAAAAAAGATAGCTCATTTTATGTTCCAAATAAGTTTGTACCACAATCACAGTACGCTCTATTAGAATTTAGCTGATGTAACAACTCCCGTCTTTTATCAATCAAGACCAAACCTGACATTGTGTTAAGGCATGTGAACTACGAGTATATATAGTAATTGGATTTTCTGTGTCTTTTATCG